CTGAGGTATTACTACATTTAATTAAGTAAAACATATACGTTCTCCCTCCAGAGGTTGCCACAGGGTGTTTTGATATAACATAACCAGTTGACATGTTCATGTTGTGACACTTACAGTAAACATGTCCTGAGGGTCGTATGAACATCTAAACGTCCCCCAGCAGTTCCTAAGATGTAGAGAAACCTCATCACATGGTGCATGCGCAGCACAAACACACATACATCTTCCTATGAAATAATCTTTGCCATTAAATAATAGAAGTGAAGTGTGCAAAAAAAGGACGGCAGTGAGCGAGTGAGTGTTGAGGAAGTGTCAACAAGTGTGTCATTAGATGTGGTCCTGGAGGGCCGAGCTGTCAGTGCTGAGGCCCCCAGAGAAAGGCTGCTTTCTTGTCTATTTCTGCCCACTGACATAGTAGTGCAGCGGCTGACATGTGGTCATACTCTGTCAGATAGATTGTGAAGAGACTGATGGACAAAGAGAGGGGAGATGGCCAGATAAATTGACTTGAAGGCAGTCCGTGCTTCGCTGAGAGCCATGTGACCTGAAAACAGAAAGGTCGTTATTGGCCATTTTCAGAAGTCATAAGGCCACATGGTGCTGAGATTTATTTTAAAACCCACCTGGGATGTGGTTGAATAGTCAAGAAAACACGTCCTATGTCTTCTGTTCACCACTTTTGCTTGACCTCGTGACGTTTTCCAATAAAGGAGATGTGAAGGACTTAAGGAAAAGACCTTTGACTTGCACTTGGCAATTATGCAACAGCAGATGAACTAGCAAGGACTACAACACAATATGTCAGTTAAAGATGTAATTACAGGAGGTATTGTATGTTGAACACTGATGAATGTGAGGGGAAAGGGTGAAGATGGGAGATGGATTTCTTAATTTCGGCTTGTCTGGAGGACGAATTGAAGGAGATTCAGTGAAGGGGTTCGGTTTCAGTCGTTTCTGTAGGGAGGAAGGAAGGAATGTAGGGATAAGAAGGAGGAAGGGATAAAGGTTTGAATTAGGGCTGCTCAATTAATCGCAATTACGATTATGGCTTGCAACGATTACGAAAACAACGTAATCGAAATAAAACGTATTTTTTAATATAAAATATTTTTTTATTATTATTATTACATTTTTTGGTTTTTCAGTTGAAGTATACTTAAAGTTCAGGGTAATCAACTGTTAAAAACATACTGTTCAATTTTTATTTCTCCAATAAATTGATGTTTTCAAAGTAAATGGATAATCGTTTTTAATGATCGTGATATCAATTATTGACCCAAATAATCGAGATGGTGGTAGGGAGGGATAAAGGTATGGAGGAATGTAGGCAGGGATGTAGGGAGGAAGGGGTGAAAGGGATGAAGGTAGGGAGGAAGGGATTTAGGAAGGGAGAGTAGAAGGTAAGTAGGGAAACTTTTTTACTCAGCCCTTTGCACACCACTTTAACATGTAAAGAAAAGCTTGACATGTTAAGTAACAGCAGCCAGGATTGAAGTGTCAATATTCAGTGGAAGAGTTTGACGAATGGCTGATAGTGATGCTTGGGAAACCAGTAATTGAGCAACACTCCCTTCTTTCTGCACAGCTGCTTTAATGTGTACCTTGGGGACGGTCCTGAGCTTCTTTATCAGCTCTTCAAGATTTGTTAATTCGTCAGTGGTGTAATTTCCGTGGTTCATTAACCCTTACATGTACAAACCGTAAGACCCTGTACAACAAGGACCTATGACCTGGCAAGCATAAGCATATTAAGTCTATATTTAAGGATCCCTAAGATAAAAGACCCCTTGATAAACGTGCCCAATAACCGGTTAGCGCCAACCTGATAAAACCCTGACAGCGTTGAACTAGAGCTGAATGATTGGCCATTAAAAAGAGATAAACGTTGCACACTAGGCTCCGCGCTGGGCAACGTGTCATCAATTAAAAGCGTGTTATTTGTCATGAGTTAATTATATTATCAATAACGGCAGCTTAATATAAATGAACGTCATTATCAAAATGTCAGCCATGTTTGAATGGATGCACAATAGCCGAAGTTTCATAATGAATCAACTCTTCTGTATCTTATCTCTAACCAACGAAGAAGACAAGAGGATCAGTAGGGTAGAGAAATACTGTCCTGCACAACTCTCTGAAGTTATTTTATTTTTTCATATCAGACTGTACGTATTTATTTATTTTTGGTACATCTAGAACCCTCCTATTGTCGTGCGTGCGTGCGGGTGGGTGGGTGTTTGTGTGTGTGTGTGTGTGTGTGTGTGTGTTTTATCTGATCTGGATGGTTACTAATTCCTTTTCTTTATGGCGGTCCGGACCAGTAACACCATGGGTGTTACAAAGTTGACTAAATCATCCACAATTCAATGAAAGTGGTGATCAGCCATTTTACATGTTGAAATGTCTACTGTGAAGGATATCATGAAGCCTTAATCCAATCGAATGTAAAACAAAAAAGTTATGATTGATGAAAGTAATAAATCGGTCAGATTTGACCCGAAGGAGTTTTTTATAATTGTTACATTGTTTGGTCCCTTTCTTACAATTGATCTCCTTTAACTGTTATTATGTATGCACCATATACACAAAATAAATGTATTGCAAACATAGTAAAAGTGTTTGTCTACCTCTTTAAAGTCAAAACTGCTCCACCAATTGATCAAAGATTGTAGGTCAACCCTGTGAGAAACCATAAATCAACCTACCATAACAACATATTAACATCATCTCCAACCCCAACCATGTACAGAACAGTGAATATGAATTGTTACCATCAAATCGGAGATACAGGGTCCCAGGATTGAATAAAGTTCGACTGAAGCGCCAGACGATCCTCAAATTAAATACAGAGTTAAATCTTTGATGGTCTTGAGCTCTTCAGTGATTGTGATGTTATGGTAAATGTTTGTTTTTCTTTGTATCGTGTCTTAATATTTATCCTGGTTTGATGTTGCAAATGGAGCTGCTGTCATGCAAGTCAAATGTCAGACTTGATCTGTTGAGTGTTATCGTATCGTTATGTGTAAACCTGCTTAGAAATCAACTTGTTTCTGATTCAGGAAGACGGGCTTTCTGGCAAACAGTTGAATGAGCTGATGGACGGGGTGAAAGGTCACCTAACCTACAAATGATTGTCCATAAACAGACAGATTGTCAATAGATAGCAGACAGACGGACAGATAAACAGACGTAGAGACAGAGCAGAGGCCAACACACGGAGACAGACAGTCCTTCAGACAGACGGACAGACAGACAGACAGACAGACAGACAGACAGACAGACAGACAGACAGACAGAGAGATAGATAGAGACACAGACAGACATACAGACATACAGACATACAGACAGACAGACAGACAGACAGACAGACAGACAGACAGACAGACAGACAGACAGACAGACAGACAGACAGACAGACAGACAGACAGACAGACAGACAGGGGGTATCATCTGCTCTCTGAGTAATCACGTAGTGTGTGTTCTGTCTCTTGGATAGTGTTCAAAACACTCTGTATATCCTGACAGAATTATCCATGGCTCCTCGCTTTAGCTATCTCCATCTGTCCGTCTCTTTACTTTACCCATCTGAATCCTTCCATACCGGTCTGTTCTTACGGCCCGTCTACACTACAGGCATCAAAAAATCTTGAAGCTGGGCGTGCCTGAAGCTTGGCGATTTTTTGCGAGCAATGCGACCAACAACCAATCACATGAATCTCCCGCCCCCGACATACAAAGCAATAGCAATGTTAAAACGAAGTAAACTGGATATAAACTCCCCAAACAGGCGAAAACCTACCAGTTTCACCCACTGTCTCTGCCACCTCCCTCCATGCCTGGTTCCTCCGGTTTGTATCCCGGTAAATAGTTCTGGTCGTAAAGAACCGGGTGATTTGCTACCGTAATTTCTCGTTTGGAATATGAGGAAATGAACTGCGGTCTGGCTCTGGCGGGATTTGCATAAACGGGATTTGATTGGCTGATGCCAGCTTCGAAAGCATCGGGAGCATCAAAAGTTGAACATTGCTCAACTTTTGATGCTCACGATGCTTGCAAAGACATGCTCCGCTCCCCACAATGCAGTTCGGCGAAGATTCAAAATCTTCTACGTCACCCTCACCCCATTCAAGTGAATGGACGAAGCGTTGAAAGCATTTTTCGATGCCTGTAGTGTAGACGGGCCGTTACTGTGTTGAGGTAATTACCGTCTTTTAGTAAATACATGAATACATTAAAACTTAGTTAGCAACATGTTTTGAAATAAGACCTTTTGTTTTTTATGTCTAGAGGTATGTCAATCGATTGAAATATCTAATTCAATCCAATATTTTAATCCATGTACAAAGCCCCGCCTCCAATTTGCTTCTTCAAGGTAGCATCACATATTTTTCGGCTCAGTCGAATGAATGGAGAGAAAAATAAACTCAGCTTTTAGCTAATTGTACTACATTTATGATCCATTGAGGTACAAAGGCCATTCAAGTATTCACACTGGGTATCTGATTTTGCTCAAAAACGTAATATGCTGAAGTAAGCGACGGATGTGTCTTTCCCAATGTAAGTCAATGGGAAAAAGTGTTTTTGGGTACATTGACGTCACATTGACTGACCCGGAAGTTGTAATACCACCGTTCGATCACTACAACAAAATTCAGACTGTTAAACACCTGGACTTTTGAAAGAACATTCATAACATTCATCTGTTAGCAACTTATAAATATCAATATTCCAATTACTTGTATAGGCTATTCTGCACTATTTCTACTATATTCTATTTTATTTTATTTACTTTCGCTATTATCTGTTTTATTGTGTTGCACTGTTGGAGGGGCCTGTGACCTAATATTTTCATTGTCATATCTACACTGTAGCTATGTACACATAGCCTTGTACCTTGAAATGTTCTGGCTCACTTCCTGGATGTTTGTTCCTCCTCCTTCTCCCCATCGTTCATTATTCCACACCTCCTCTAATCCATCTCTCATCTCTTGTCCTCCCAGGTCTGCTTTCTGTGTCCTACGACGAGTGGGACTACAACCTGGAGGCCCGTGTTCGTGACGGCGTGGCCATCATCACCATGGCAACGTCCACCATGATGATGGACCGTGGGCCGCACACCCTGCTGAAGTCCGAGTGCCACGGAGCTCCGGACAAGAAGACCCCCATCTCAGGCAACCCCAACGAAGTGCTCAGGTGAGGGGAGGCTGGGGTTAATGTTTTAGTGTTTACTGAGAGCCATTCTAAAACATCACTTGTTCAACACAATATAAGTCTAGGAGAGGTGGGAAGTAGTGGAGTACAAATACTTCGTTACTGTACTTAAGTACATGTTTCTGGTATCAGTACTTTACTCCACTACTTATTTTTCTGAGGACTTATTACTTTTACTTCTTACATTTTGAACACAAATACCTGTACTTTCTACTTCTTACATGTTGAACTCAAATACCTGTACTTTCTACTTCTTACATTTTGAACACAAATACCTGTACTTTCTACTTCTTACATGTTGAACTCAAATACCTGTACTTTCTACTTCTTACATGTTAAACACAAATACCTGTACTTTCTACTTCTTACATTTTGAACACAAATACCTGTACTTTCTACTTCTTACATGTTGAACTCAAATACCTGTACTTTCTACTTCTTACATGTTGAACACAAATACCTGTACTTTCTACTTCTTACATTTTGAACACAAATACCTGTACTTTCTACTTCTTACATGTTGAACACAAATACCTGTACTTTCTACTTCTCACATGTTGAACTCAAATACCTGTACTTTCTACTTCTTACATGTTGAACTCAAATACCTGTACTTTCTACTTCTCACATGTTGAACTCAAATACCTGTACTTTCTACTTCTCACATTTTCCAAACAGCTGGTTCCTTTAGTCTGAATGTGTGTTTGGTGGCGTGATCATTATTCTTTAGAGTCATTGCGTGCCTATTGATTTGAACACGATCCGTGTATCCATCATTTCCTGGTCTTCTCTAAAGAAGAGGGACCAATGAAAACGTTGTCATGTTGCCGTTGTTCAGCATGGAAACATTCATTAGCTAACAATGACATTATTGTTCTATTAATATAAAGGGAGGTCAGGTACTCTTTAAAACAGCTGCTAGTTATGGGTACTTTTTACTGAAGTACATTTCAAAGCCCTCTTTACTTTGACTTGAGTAAAGAAGTTTAGTCAGTACTTCTACTCTTACCAGAGTATTTTTAAACACGAGTATCTGTACTTCTACTTGAGTAAAGGATGTGTGTACTTTTGCCATCTCTGAAGTCTAGATGTTGAGGGGTGCAGCGATTATGTATTTTTGTCGGCTGACTCGGGAAGTTATCATCACGAGGCCTCCCTCGACAAAAAGTCGATGGGAGTTTACCATTGGACTTTGGAATATGTCAGAAAATGGGGCAAACAAACATTTCTGATATTAGATTTAATTGCATTTAACTGACACTTTGGTCCAAATTGACGTCCTATAAGTGATGCATACACGTTTGGTTCAGCAGAAACATTTTGAGAAATTAACACCACTTTTATAATTGTTGAGGCATACATTCAATTGCCAGAACTAAAAGGCTTAACAATTTTGAAGCCAGACTTTTTATTTGTACCATAGTATTTCTACACTGAGCAGAATGTACTTTGTTCAGTCAGTAATAACAATGTTAAAATGTAAAAAAAAAGTACATATTGCACATCAGTAGTGTCACTGCACAACAGCTTTGGTGTCTAGATGCTGGCACACACTCAAAACACATGCACCTTTCATCCCTTGCACTGTGATCATCGCCCCTCTGTAATAATACCCTCCACACACACACACACACACACACACACACACACACACACACACACACACACACACACACACACACACCACACACACACACACCACACACACACACACACACACACACACACACCACACACACACACACACACACACACACACACACACACCCCTTCTCATGCCCCCATCCTCCAGGAGACCCCCCCCAGCTGTCCGTCTCAGCAGCAGGTCTTTTGAACTGTTCGTGCAGCGCGGCGTCGCTCTGCTCGATGCCTAATTGGTCCCAATGGCGTTTGAGTCGAGGAACAGTGGCCCCTGTCGCGCTGCAGAGCTCAGCATTGTGATGCGTTCAGGGGCCCTCGGCCACCCTGCGTGTGTTAGATGTAGCTGTATGTAGTTTTCATTGTGCTAAAGAGAAGGCCATATGTGTGTATAGGTATGAAAGGGTTTGAAAAGCAGCACTCACAAAGACATACATATTCTCGCACTGACTCACACTTGTATTAAGTCGACATATACATACACTATTTTAGCTTGGTTTGAAATACTGATTATGCCTTTGGAGAGATGACCATATGTGATGAGTTTGTAAGGGACTATTTATCCAAAAGCATCTATAAGAGGAATGGTTAGCCATACACTCACGCAAGGGCACTTTGCTTTGGATCAGATTTGCTATCCCGGTGCCAAAATGGTGGAAAGTCCGGCATGAAAGTCTACACATCTTCCGTGGCAGACTAAAAAACATCGCCTGTTTCGACTCATCCTTGGCCATTAAAATGATAAAAAAGTACACTTATAAGATCTCTCTTCTGTACGTAGCACTGTCTCTATGTGAAGCTAATGCAGTAGCACTACATCTGGTTGGGCTTAAAAACGCATAAGGTTGTAAATACTCCTGCTGCTTTGTTTTTTGTTGGGGACGATGTCGGTTTTAAGTATATTTCTTTGTATTTTATCTTCAACCAGACAGACTCCCTTGCTGACTTCAATCAGCCATTACTACAGAAAAAGTAGTTCGCACATTCACCCTCTTGCAGCAGAAACAGAGCCTGTAGAAACACACCTTGTTGGATGTGTCATTGTTCCGTTCACGCTCCGAGCCTGTACTCAGCGCTTCAGTCCGTTCCAATAAACTCCTCAGATGTCATTTCAACTGGTCTGTTTGTTCGGCTCTGAGATAACCTGGAGTTTATAGCAGCTGCTGTTGTCCCAGAAATGCAATTCCCCTGTTCTTCTGGCGTCTTCTGCTCAACCCTACTGTGGTTTCTTCTTTCGTCTCTTTACTCTAAAACGCTCCGCCATGTTCCTCTCTGTCCTCTCTCACTTGTTCCCCTCTGGTCTGCTTTCATACTCCGCTTTGTTCCACTTTATTCTCTTCTGTCTGAAACGGCTCTGCTTCATCCTGAGGTGAAAGAAGTGCTCTGATGTTTCACTTTAGTAAAGGTAGTAATACTGCAGTGGGAAAATACTCATTCAATGTTGTACTCAAGTATGACCCATTTAGAGTCATATTTGTACCACATTATTGTATTCAAAGTAATGCGTTGTGCCTCACTTAATGAACGTACCAAGTAAAGGTGGGGTTTAGTTAATGACTTCGTATCATTATTAATCAGCTGATTTATATTTTGAATTAAAAATAATTATCTGCAGAGTAGCAAGTATAACATTTGCCTAAAATGTTCTCCTTTCCTTTCCTCTCTTCTCTCCTCTCCTCTCTTCTTCTTTCATTTCCTCTTCCTTCCTCTCTTTCCTTTCCTCTCCTCTCCTTTCCTTTCAACTCATTTCCTCTCCTCTCCTCTTATTTCCTTTCCTTTCCTATTCTTTCATATCCTCTCCTCTCTCCTCCCCTCTCCTCTCATCTCCTCTCCTCCCCTCTCCTCTCCTCTCCTCTCCTCTCCTCTCCTCTCCTCTCCTCTCCTCTCCTCTCCTCTCTTCCTCTCTCCTCTCTCCTCTCTCCTCTCTCCTCTCCTCTCCCCTCTCTCTCCCCTCTCCTCTCTCCTCTCCTCTCCCCCCTCTCCTCTCTCCTCTCATTCTCCTCTCCGTCTCTCCCTCTCTCCCTCTCCCCTCTCCTCTCCTCTCTCCTCTCTTCCTCTCTCCTCTCTCCTCTCTCCTCTCTCCTCTCTCCTCTCTCCTCTCTCCTCTCCTCTCCTCTCCTTTCCCCTCTCTCTCTCCTCCTCTCCTCTCCTCTCCTCTCTCCTTTCCTCTCCTCTCCTCTAATCAACTTACCCATGTTAGTGATTAGATCAGTTTGCTCTGCAGAGATCTTTCGCCTCGCTGCCTTAACTAAATCTGTTCTGTGATAACCTTTGTCTTCAAGTGTTCAATCGGCAGATTAGCGTTTGGCCTTCAGTCTATAAACTGCAGAGTGAATGAAGCGCTGGTTGGTTGTTGGGATGTTTGACCTGTTATCCAGACGGTTCACTGCGGAGTGAATCAATGGACGAGTGGAAAGGGAAGGGAAGCAGCTTGATCAAAAGACTCTTTTGGAAAATGTCAACATTGTGACTTAGTGGTGGAGAATGGCCTAACCCTAAACCCTAACCCTAACCTTAGCAATAGCTTAAATAAAGCCTAAATCGGGGTTACGGATGACCTGACTCTCAAAAAGACTTTAAAGGTGGGGTAGGTACTTTTGGAGAAACCAGCTCGAGTGCGCTAGAATTTGAAAATACACAACCGGAAAAAAATCTGCCACTTCCTTACAGAGCCCCTCCTCCAACACACACGAACGCGCACATGACCAATGAGGGCACGAGATAAGTTTGTGCACAGATGGAAGGCTGACAGGCAGGTAGGCCGTCCAGTTACTTTAGCCGGGCCGGCTCAGATGATTGGTCGTGCTTTTTACAGTACCACGGGTTCCACAGATGACATTTCTTCATGGATTTTTTGTCAAAGCACTTAAGATATTCATTGCTATCGGGATGTTAAGAGCATTCCATGGAATATAACAAGTGTATCTCGAGCCGGTTTCTCAAACTTACCTACCCCACCTTTAAGTGAGCTTTTCATTTATTTATTTTTATTTATCCTTTATTTATCCAGGAATGTCCCATTGAGATACAAGATCTCTTCTTCCAGGGAGTCCTGACCAACACGGCACACAACAAGTTTCAACATAAAACAAGGGCATTAAACAAAAAACATACAATTCAAATATAAATACAGAAGGCCATTTGTGCAGTGGCAAGAAGCATAATCACATCAGCAATAGCATCAGGTAAAACAGTTACATGTTTCATGAAGGGCTAATCGTAGCATACCTTTAAAAGCATTTACAGTAGGAAGTGCCTCTCGACAAAGTTTTACTTGCAGCGTATTCCATAAAAAGGGAGCATAGTGGGAGAATGCAGCTTTACCAAGCTCTGACTGCATCAAA